GGATGATGGGACTTACAGTACCTTCAATTGCTTCCAGAGACCACTGTGACCCACACCAGTGACGGATCAAGACCAAACATGGCACACAGAGTCCCCATGACCCACTCTACGTCCTGGTACGGTCTGTGGGATGATAGATCATGGACAATGGAACTTGCAGTACATTCACTCACTTCCTGAGACCACTGCAACCCACACCAATGACTGATCAAGTCCAAACTTGGCACACAGAGCCCCCATGAGCCACTCTACATCCTGGTGTGGTTTGGAAGAGGATGGACTATAGATGATGGGATTTACATATGGGAGTTGTAGCACCCCCTGAACCCAGTTGACATTGGATCTAGACTAAACCTGGAGCACAGACAAACAATACCTTCCTCAAATAACCCGGACACCGCCGGGTCCCCATGCTAGTGATAAATAAAATTACACACATTTCCCTAAATTTAGTGGATTCTATTATTTCTGTCATTTTTTTCCTGGTTTTAATGGGTGATTTAGAAAAAAAAACTGCATAGCATGATTACAGGTAATCTTATTCAACCAGCTTTGGAACTTCTGGGGTTTCGGTGGTCATTAACCATGCCATTTCCAGCATATTTTCATAGTCATTAGTGTTAAAAATCTGATTGTTCGTAATTATAAATGTAGTATTAGGGACTCTGGGAAGTTGTCTCCATTCCTTCAGAGTAGAGGCCTCACACAGACCTTGTTTTCCACTTTGTGTTGCCCCTCGCAATGATCTCTCTTGCGTCATTCATTTCTAAAGGCCAGTAGCAAGAGGTTCTGCTAATTAATGAGCCGTATTCAGCTGGGTTCCCCAGAGAACGGACATGGTTTCTTATAGAGCTGTTGAGCTGAACAGCAACCGTGGAGCCATTATTGGCTGATTAAACATGCCTTGGGTACTCAGGACTTTGGGGGAATAGGAGATCATGCCATGGGGCCTGCTTTTGGTCTTTTATCCTTCTCTTGTTGGGTACTTTGTAGTTCTGTGCTTCCCAACCAAGCATGCTCCTTAATTGCCTTCATCTATTTGCTATTAGAGCAATGGGGCATTCGACAGGCATGATTTCTGCTGCTCTAGAGACTAGGAGCTCATCTATACAGAATTAATGCACTCGCGCCTCTTGAACTGTCATGGCTCAATGCTATGGCCTCTTTAGAGTTGGGAATTGGCAGGGCACCAAAACTCTTTGGTAGAGAAGACCTTGCAAAACTACAACTCCCTTTGTATTGTCAAAGGCTTTCATGGCTGGAATCACTGGGTTGTTGTAGGTTTTTTTTCGGGCTATATGGCCACGGTCTAGAGGCATTCTCTAGAGGCGAAACGTCAGGAGAGAATGCCTCTAGACCAGTGTTTCTCAACCTGGGGGTCGGGACCCCTGAGGGGGTCGCGAGGGGGTGTCAGAGGGGTCACCAAAGACCATAAGAAAACACAGTATTTTCTGATGGTCATGGGGATTCCATGTGGGAAGTTTGAGCCAATTCTATCGTTGGTGGAGTTCAGAATGTTCTTTGGTTGTAATGAACTATAAATCCCAGCAACTACAACTCCCAAATGTCAAGATCTATTTTCCCCAGACTCCACCAGTGTTCACATTTGGGCATATTGAGTATTTGTGCCAAGTTTGGTCCAGATCCACCATTGCATGGGTCCACAGTGCTCCCTGGATATAGGTGAACTACAACTCCCAAATTCAAGGTCAATGCCCATCAAACCCTTCCAGTGTTTTCCACTGGTCATGGGAGCCAAGTTTGGTTCAAATCCATCGCTGGTGGAGTTCAGAATGCTCTTTGATTATAAGTGAACTATAAATCCCAGCAACTACAACTCCCAAATGACAAAATCAATCCTCCCATCCCAACCCCACCAGTATTCATATTTGGGTATATTGGGTATTTGTGCCAAATTTGGTCCAGTGAATGAGAATACATCCAGCATATCAGATATTTACATAACGATTCATAACAGTAGCAAAATTACAATTATTAAGTAGCAATGAAAATAATGTTATGGTTGGGGGTCACCACAACATGAGGAACTGTATTAAGGGGTCGCGGCATTATGAACGTTGAGAACCACTGGTCTAGAGGCATTCTCTAGAGGCGAAACATCAGGAGAGAATGCCTCTAGACCATGGCCATATAGCCCGAAAAAACCTACAACAACCCTACAACTCCCTTTGACCAGAAGCCCAACATAAAAACCTAACATGGCTGTAAACAATGCAACTTCATCATATCATAGACCAGGGGTCCTCAAACTTAAGGCCCGGAGGCCAGATACGACCCTCCAAGGTTATTTACCCGGCCCTCACTCAGGGTCAACCTAAATCTGAAACGACTTGAAAGCATACAGCAACAACAACAACAATCCTATCTCATCAGCCAAAAGCAGGCCTACACTTCCCATTGAAATACTAATGTTTATATTTGTTAAAATTGTTCTTCATTTTAATTATTGTATTGTTTTAAGTGTGGTTTTTTGCACTACAAATAAGATCTGTGCAGTGTGCATAGGAATTAATTCATGTTTTTTTCAAATTATAATCAGGCCCTCCAACAGTTTGAGGGACTGTGACCTGGCCCTCTGTTTAAGAAGTTCGAGGACCCCTGTCATAGACTATCACTCGTGGTTGAAGGTGATTGCCTTCCAAGTGTAGGGTTTTGGTGGTGGGTTTGTATTATTATTATTATTATTATTATTATTATTATTATTATTCATCTTCAGCTGCTGCAAGAAGATCGCGCAGGCAGACTACAAGCAGGGACATAACACCGTTGCTCAGATGATTAATTGGAACTTGTGCCACAAATACCATCTGCCTGCGACAAAGAACTGGTGGGATCCTCTGGGACTTCTGGATTCAGACAGGCAGAGTTTTGGAGCATAATACTCCTGACCTCTCAATCGTGTTAAAAAACAAAGTATGGATTGTCGATGTCGCAATCCCAGGTGACAGCAGGATTGCAGGGAAACAACTGGAAAAATTGATACAATATGAGGATTTAAAAATCGAACTGCAAAGACTCTGGCACAAACCAGTCAAGGTGGTCCCAGTGGTGATCAGCATACTGGGTGCAGTGCCTGAAGACCTTGGCCTGCACTTAAACACAACCGGTGCTGACAAAATTACCATCTGCCAGATGCAGAAGGCCACTTTACTGGGATCTGCATGCATTATTCGTCGACACATCGCACAGACCTAGACACTTGGGAAGTGTCCGACATGCGATCCAGAGTGTAGTAGTAGTAGTAGTAGTAGTAGTAGTAGTAGTAGTAGTAAGGGGACTCAAGGCAGCTTACAGAATGACAAAAAATAAGTAAAAATAAGTAAATAAATAAACATAAAAGTACAATAAAACAGTGCAAAGTAACAAAATGAAAAATCAAATGCAACAGGCGGGCCAAATGTACAACACAAATGGATAAAACTCTGGATTAGATGAAAAAAATAAAAAAAAGGTATCTTTGTAAGAGAGAAGCTCATAGGGGACGGAAGAGTGCAGACAGGCCTTCAGAAAGGTGGAGGGAAGTGCAATATGAGGACAACATTTTGGGAGGAACAACAAGAAAAAGGTACGGTATATGGTCACTCTCCAAAGGCACAACAAAAGAGCCAAGTTTGTAAATCCTTCTCGAAGGCTGCTAGAGTGGGAGCTTGCCTAATTACACCAGATAGTGAGTTCTACAGCTGGGGGGCCACAGCGGAGAAGGCTCTCTTCCTCTTTCCCACAAGACATGCCTGTGATGGAGGAAGGGGAGAATGGAGGGCCTCCCCCAAAGACTGAAGAGATTGAGCAGGTTTATGGAAGGAGATGCGGTCACAAAGGTAGGTGGGTCCCAAACCGTTTAGGGCATTGTAGGTGACTATGGAGCCCTATTCTTGATCTGCATGTTCTTTTGCAGGGAGGGCATTGATTTTCAGATGGAAGGTGGTCCCAGTTAGGGTTGCTTGATGTGCTTTCCTCCTGGCACATTTCTTCCTTTTGCTCTCGATTCGTGCCTCTTCGAATTCCACAGCACTGCTGGTCACAGCTGACCTCTAGTTACAACACTCAAAAGCCAGGGCTCCCCAGTTCTCGGTGTCTATATCACAGTTTGGTTTTAAGACCATCTTTTCCCATGCACCAAGATTCCCTTTTCTATTCTTGAGTTGGGAGTAGAATAACCGCTTTGGGAGATGGTGATCAGGAATAAAGACAATGCGGCTAGTCCAGTGAAGTTGATGGAGAAGGACCATCGCTTCAATGCTGGTGGTCTTTGCTTCTTCCGGAATGCTGACATTTGTCTGCCTGTCTTTCCAAGAAATTTGTAGGATTTGGGGGCAACTCTGATGGAATCGTTCCAGAAATTGAGTGTAACATCTGTAGGCGTATATCAAGGTTGGGAGGACAATAGCTTTGTAAACAAGCCTCTTGGTCTTCCCTACAAATGTCCCAATCCTCAAACACTCTCTGCTTCATTTGTAAAAATGCTGCACTCGCAAAGCTCAGATTGGGCTGAAGGTACTACATCTCCCAGCCAGCATTGCCAATGTGCCCAGCACTTTGGCGGAATCGTAGTGGCCAGTGGCCATGCTGGTTGGGAGTTTTTGTGAGCTGTATCTCAAAAAGTAATTTTGCCCAACTATAAGTGCGCCAAGTACCCTAATTTTTCCCCACGTTGACTGTTTAGAGCAGTGGTTCTCAACCTGGGGTCCCCAGATGTTTTTGGCCTTCAACTCCCAGAAATCCTAATAGCTGGTAAACTAGCTGGGATTTCTGGGAGTTGTAGGCTAAAAACATCTGGGGACCCCAGATTGAGAACCACTGGTTTAGAGAGCTTTGTACATGGGTTTTGGCAAGGTTTCCAAGGGACCAGTGAGCACTGCTGAAAATCATCACACAGAACAAGGAAGAACAAAACCCAAAGATGAGAAAGTCCACATTGATGGAGAAGCAAAGGAGGTGCAAAGTGGTGAAGACCCACAAACAGAGCACTGTGGTCCTACCTTCGTTTCCTTGATCTTCACAGCAATCACTTGCTTGCGCTGGCGGATGATTTCCATCAGCTCATCGCACTCTTCCATCAGTTTTGCCTCATGCATGGCTGTGTTCACCTGGTCGGAGAAAAGAAAAGAAGGTAAAAGAAGGAACAGGATGGCAGATATTAGGCAACAAGGTGGCACTTGTCCCACTCTTCTTTAGAAGAGGAATCCTTGCAGATTCAACTGGAACTTTCTGGGAGAAATGCCCAGAAGAGGGCAGGATGACCAATCCTTATCGTTCTTCCAATGGCAGAGAAGACTTTGCATGCATCAGGCTTTGAAGTTGGGGAAGAGGGCTTTTAACAAGTAGAAATGTTGTGCTTTTAAGACAGCGTTTCTCAACCTGGGAGTCGGGACCCTGGGGGGGGGGGGGGTTGCAAGGGGGGGTCAGAGGGGTCGCCAAAGACCATCAGAAAACACAGTATTTTCTGTTGGTCATGGTGGTTCTCTGTGGGAAGATTGGCCCAATTCTCTTGTTGGTGGGATTCAGAATGCTCTTTGATTGTAAGTGAACTATGAATCCCAACAACTGCAACTCCCAAATCTCAAGGTCTATTTTCCCCAAAACTCCACCAGTGTTCACATTTGGGCATATTGCTTATTCGTGCCAAGTTTGATCCAGACCCATCATTATTTGAGTCCACAGTTCTCTCTGGATGTAGGCGAACTACAACTTCAAAAGTCAAGGTCAATGCCCATCAAACCCTTCCAGTATTTTCTGTTGGTCATGGGGATTCTGTGTGGGAAGTTTGGTCTAATTCCATTTTTGTTGGAGTTCAGAATGCTCTTTGATTGTAGGTGAACTATAAAGCCCAGCAACTACAACTCCCAAATTGCAAGGTCTATTTTCCCCAAACTCCACCAGTGTTCATATTTGTGCATATTAAGTATCTGTGCCAAGTTTGGTCCAGCTCCATCATTGTTTGAGTCCACAGTGCTCTCTGGATATAGGTGAACTACAACTCCAAAACTCAAGTTCAATGCCCACCAAACCATTCTAGTATTTTCTGTTGGTCATGGGAGATCTGTGTGCCAAGACCGGTTCAGTTGCATCATTGGTGGAGTTCAGAATGCTCTTTGATTGTAGGTGAACTATAAATCCCAGAAACTACAACTCCCAAATCTCAAATCTCAAGGTCTATTTTACCCAAACTCCACCAGTGTTCACACTTGGACATATTGAGTATTTGTGCCAAGTTTGGTCCAGACCCATCATTATTTGACTCCACAGTTCTCTCTGGATGTAGATGAACTATATCTCCAAAACTCAAGTTCAATGCCCACCAAACCCTTCCAGTATTTTATGTTGGTCATGGGAGTTCTGTGTGCCAAGTTTGGTTCAATTCCATCATTGGTGGGGTTCAGAATGTCCTTTAATTGTAGGTGAACTATAAATCCCAGCAAATACAATTCCCAAATGACAAAATCTCCCCAACTGCACCAGTATTCAAATTTGGGTTTATCAGATATTTGTACCAAATTTGGTCCAATGAATGAAAATACATCTTGCATATCAGATATTTACATTATGATTCATAACAGTAGCAAAATTACAGTTATGAAGAAGCAACAAAAATAATGTTATGTTTGGGGGTCACCACCACATGAGGAACTGGATTAAGGGGTCGTGGCATTAGGAAGGTTGAGAAACAGTGGTTTAAGAAGTTATGTGTTTTGTATCTGCTCTTTCTTCAGGTGTTGTTTTAACAACTGTAATATTATCTATATAAATAAAAATGTAATGTTTGTTTGTGGGATTAACATAACTCAAAAACCACAGGATGAATTGACAGGAAATTTGGACACCTACTAAAACCAAGGAGTGACCCATCACTCAAAAAATTGATTTTGTCATGTGGGAGTTGTAGTTGCTGGGATTTATAGTTCACCTAAACCAAAGACCATTCTGAACTCCACCAATGATGGAATTGAACCAAACGTGGTACACAGGACTCCCAGGACCGACAGAAAACACTAGAAGGGTTTGGTGGGCATTGACCTTGTGTTTGGGAGTTGTCGTTTACCTACACCCAGAGAGCACTATGGATTCAAACAATGCTGGATCTGGACCAAACTTGGCACGAATATTTCATATGCCCAAATATGAACACAGATGGAGTTTGGGGGAAATAGACCTTGACATTTGGGAGTTGTAGTTACTGGGATGTATAGTTCACCTACAATCAAAGAGCATTCTGAACCCCACCAACGATGCAATTGGGGCAAAATTCCCACATGGAACCTCCACGACCAACAGAAAATACTTAAGGCCATCCAGTCCAACTCCCTTCACCAGGGCAAGAAAACGTCATCAAACCCTTCCTGACAAAGAGCCATCCAGCCATAGATATAGATAAATATATTTAATTTTCACACTCACAGATATAGTATCATAGATTCGAAAGGGACCCCTAAAGAAGGACAATGATATGTTGCATGTTCCAGAGTAGGCAAACCAGACAATCTCCACATCAACACTGACAAAGAAACAACAAGAAATAGTGTTTACCCACAAGAAGAAAGACATGACATATACTAGAAACCAACACTTTCTCATTACTTTATTTTCCAGATCACCAGACTGGGCCACAGCAACACATGGCAGGGGACGGCTAGTATGTAAAATATATGCCTAGCTTTTCTTTAACCCTGTTGGGAAGCTTTCTGAGTTCCAATATTAAGGGAAAGTGGGAAACAAGAGAACATTCCTCAATGCATTTCAAGGATGATTCAATGATGAACTGGGAAGCTCCATGTCTCAATCAAAGTGTGTCTTTGCTCTTTTGCTGTGCCTTTATTCTAAGATACCTGCATCACAATGGAGAAGCTTTCTTCTCAGGCAACGTGGAAGGCAGTGTACTGAAGCCAAGGGAGCTTTCTTCTAAGTGGGTTTCTTGATGTTATATTCAGAGAGAAGATGGTGTTAAATATAGAAGAGTAAAAGAATTGATTCAATGGCAGAATACTGATGCCATTTGAATTGCACTGGGGTTGCACTTTGCTAGTTGCACTTTTCAGAAATCGGTAGAGTGTGAGTTTTTTTTAAGTGCATACTAAAAAAAAACATGCATAATAATGCATAGGTTGGTAAAGGCATTCCCCTGACATTAAGTTCAGTCATGTCCGACTCTGGGGTGTGGTGCTAATTTCTAAGCCAAAGAGCCGGCGTTGTCCGTAGACACCTCCAAAGTCATGTGGCCAGCATGACTGCATGGAGCGCCCTTACCTTCCCGTCAGAGCGGTACCTATTGATCTACTCATATTTGCATGTTTTCGAACTGCTAGGTTGGCAGAAGCTGGGGCTGACAGAGGGAGCTCACGCTGCTCCCCGGATTCGAACCTGCAACCTTTTGGTCAACAAGTTAAGCAGCTCAGTGCTTTAGTCCACTGCACCACCAAAGTCTCCCTAACCATGCATATATTAGTGGAAATATCAGCACCCTCGGTAGTGCAATGGGTTAAACTCTTGTGCCGACAGGACTGCTGACCGAAAGGCCGGCAGTTCAAATCCGGGGGGGCAAGGTGAGCTCCTGTTGGTCAGCTCCAGCTTCCCATTTTGGGACATGGGTGGAGCCACCCACAGGATGGTAAAATATCCAGATGTCCCCCAGACAACATTATTTATTTATTTGCAGTATTTATATTCCGCTCTTCTCACCCCGCAGGGGACTCAGGGAGGATTACAATGTACATATACATGGCAAACATTCAATGCCATAGACACACAACATATATAGACAGACACTCAGAGGCTATTTAATATTCAAGCTTCTGGCCACCAGGGGAACTGTCGCTTTCTCATTCTTTGTATACTTGCATACTTCCTGGAGATTTTTTTATGGCCTCGTAAATCAGTTAATTTAGCCTCCCCAAAAAGTGGTACCTAATTTTCCTACTTGACAGATAGAATCATAGAATCAAAGAGTTGGAAGAGACCTCCTGGGCCATCCAGTCCAACCCCATTCTGCCAAGAAGCAGGAATATTGCATTCAAATCACCCCTGACAGATGGCCATCCAGCCTCTGTTTAAAAGCTTCCAAAGAAGGAGCCTCCACCACACTCCGGGGCAGAGAGTTCCACTGCTGAACGGCTCTCACAGTCAGGAAGTTCTTCCTCATGTTCAGATGGAATCTCCTTTCTTTGTAGTTTGAAGCCATGGTTCCGCGTCCTAGTCTCCAAGGAAGCAGAAAACAAGCTTGCTCCCTCCTCCCTGTGGCTTCCTCTCACATATTTATACATATCATATCTCCTCTCAGCCTTCTCTTCTTCAGGATAAACATGCCCAGCTCCTTAAGCCGCTCCTCATAGGGCTTGTTCTCCAGACCCTTGATCATTTTAGTCGCCCTCCTCTGGACACATTCCAGCTTGTCAATATCTCTCTTGAATTGTGGTGCCCATAATTGGACACAATATTCCAGGTGTGGTCTAACCAAAGCAGAATAGAGGGGTAGCATGACTTCCCTAGATCTAGACACTATGCTCCTATTGATGCAGGCCAAAATCCCATTGGCTTTTTTTGCCGCCACATCACATTGTTGGCTCATGTTTAACTTGTCGTCCACGAGGACTCCAAGATCTTTCTCACACGTACTGCTCTCGAGCCAGGCATCCCCCATTCTATATCTTTGCATTTCGCTTTTCCTGCCAAAGTGAAGATGCAACTGTCTTTCGGGTTGCAAAGGTCGACAACAAGCTACACAATTTTGGTTGGGAGCTCACTCCGACCCGGGCTGGCTTCAAACTCATAACCTTTTGGTCAGTAGTGATCCTAATGCAGCTGACTCTTAGCCAGCTGCGCCACAGTCCAGTCTGCAACATCCTTGCAGACAGCCAATTCTCTCACACCAGAAGCGACTTGCAGTTTCTCAAGTTGCTCCTGACATGAAAAAAGTGGAATGTATGCACGATCATGTAGATTTTAAATAGTACATATATGAAAAAAAAAAAACACCGTATGCAAAAATAAGATCCAAACAATGTTGAACCAAAGAGATGAGGAGCAAAACTCAAATAGACAGATTCACCCATCTGAAAAAAATGGTCTCTGAATTCAATGGCTGTTCAGAGAAGGG